TATTTATATATTGAGTATTATTTAACGCTTGTATAATAATAATAATAGCCAGACTATTAATTAGTCGCGGTTAACGTTAAAACTAAACTCTAGTGGTATTAATACTAGGTTTTGGTCAAGGAAAAATTGTTTTGAGATAACGAAGTGCTGTTCAAATACTGAGTCACCACCTAATCAGGTGAGTGCATAGTTACTTTCATCTTACACATAGATATGAAGTATTTTATATTAATTACGTGCTATGTGTGCATATTATCTGAATACTTGCTGCCTATGCTGATGAAAGATTTTTATACATGTTTTAAATAATTTAAACTGTATATGTATTTTATATCTACAAAAATGTTGGGGTAAAACATGGGTAGATGTAATAAGACAATGTGTGATAAAATGATGAGAGGCCTCGATGTTGTTGTTATTGATTCTGTCATCTAGCAGAGTATGGATGACGACCACGGACTCTTCTAGACAGTCCAGTGGAACGCTAGCAGGCTCGCAACCTGTAGGTGTTTGTGAACGATGTGTTCACCGGTGTACTCCATCCCCCTCATGGTTGCCTTTAGGACATTTATTGCTAAGGAAAAACCCCTTGGCAGTAGTGTCCATCCCGATATTGATCCTTAGTCTAGGTCCCTTATGATAGGTGTTTTAGGGACGTAATGTGAGGATAACGGGAACGGGTAATCGGGTTATTTTTTATTGATGAAATTAATAAACTTATTTATTGTGGGTTGAAAACCCTATGTGCTCACCAGGCTCCCAAGCCTGGCCCACTCAGTTTCTTGTATTACAGGTAGTGGCGCACGAGCATAGATATGATGTTTGGGATGAGAGATTATGAATAAATGTAGTAAGGCTATATTGTACTGTTTATGCTTTTGATCTGTATCGAACATGACATCCCGATGTTTTTTAATGAAATACATTTCTACGGAAATGCTTTGATAAGTCTTTATCATAATTTTATTTTGGGAACAAATTCCGCAACACTTTTATTTAAAATGTTACTCTGATTTTTAAACAACGCATAAACAAAAATCGGTCTTTTCTGGCCGTGAAAATAGGGATGTCACAGTTTGACCAAATCAGCACACTTCCTACCGATAAAAGAAACCGACAAGATGGAGAAGCTGACTAGAACGTACATCAAAGAGATTGTACGACTCCATGGTGTGCCGATATCCATTATCTCCGATAGAGATAGTAGATTTACCTCACGATTTTGGCAGTCTCTACAAAAATCATTGGGAACTAGGCTTGACATGAGTACGGCCTACCACCCACAAACCGACGGACAGAGCGAACGAACGATTCAAACGTTGGAAGACATGTTAAGAGCTTGTGTGATAGACTTCGGTAAAGCATGGGATACCCATCTACCGCTTATCGAATTCTCCTACAATAACAACTATCATACTAGCATCAAAGTGGCTCCATTCGAAGCTTTTTACGGTCGCAAATGCAGATCACCCCTGTGTTGGGCTGAGGTGGGGGATACACAGCTAGCTAGAGGGCAAGTCTCTAATAGCACCCTCACTGGCCCTGAAATCATAAGGGAAACCACAGAAAAGATCGTTCAAATTCGAGAAAGACTGAAAGCGTCTCGCGATCGGCAAAAGAGTTACGCAGACAAACGACGCAAACCCTTGGAATTCCAGGTGGGTGATCGTGTACTACTAAAATTTTCCCCTTGGAAAGGAATGATACGATTCGGCAAACGCGGGAAACTAAATCCAAGGTACATCGGGCCATTCGAAATCCTTGCTAGGATTGGGCCAGTAGCATACAAACTTCGATTACCTCAGGAACTCGACAAAGTACATCCCACATTTCACGTGTCGAACCTAAAGAAGTGTTTGTCTGATAAGACACTCGTAATACCACTCGACGAAATCGAAGTTAACGAAAATCTCCACTTCGTGGAGGAACCAGTCGAAATCATGGATCGGGAAATCAAACGAACGAAACAAAGTCGTATTCCCATCGTGAAGGTCCGTTGGAACGCTAAACGAGGACCCGAATTCACCTGGGAACGCGAGGATCAGATGAAACAAAAGTATCCACATCTCTTTCCCGAACTCTTGAAGTCCCAGTCAAAAATGCAAATTTTGGGACGAAATTTCTTCTAACGGGGGGATGATGTGACAACCGTCAAATTTCGGTCAAGTCAAAGTCAAACAAAGTCAACAAGTCAAACCGGTCAACTCCATTAACCCTTGTATGTTAAGGTTTACGTTGTACAATTCGCTATTTTAATGAGAAAACATCATTTGGAAAATTCATGTGTTTGATTTTCCTTAGCCTTAACAGTGCTAAACAACGAACCAAAGCGATAAAACACTATTGCACAATTATCGGGGGTTGTGTAAGACTCTTAAACATGGCTTAACGGGGTTTACAAATATGACAATTGTAAAAATCTCATCATATTTACTATTTACTATTTACTATTTACTACCTACTATTTACTATTTACGTTTTAAAAATTACTATTATTAGCCAATTAGTATTAACCATCTTCTAGAAACATTTGTCATGATTACATCATGAATATGTCATATACACTAACTAGTTATATGGAGAATGTCAACATTTAACACTTATTATTAAAGAATTATATATGAATAGTAATTCTTACTAGTATAAATACAAGGCTTAAGTCACTCATTTTCTACACCATTCTCTCTCAATTTCAAGACTTCCAAGGTTAATCATCAAGCTTTCTTTCACCTCTTGGTTCTCGATTCGTCAAGGCATCTTCTAAGTGTTTTTGAGTTGAACACTTCTCTTCTCCAACATCCATCCTCTAAGAACACATAAGGTGAGTTCATACCCCTACATTTACATGTTTTTCTTAAGTTTTAAGGGGGAATACAAGTAAAATCATCAAGAACACAATTAAACTTTTTCTATCAGATTACATCAGAAAAGATGAACTTCGATCACGGACTGTTTTGGTCAACTTAAATATTTTAGTTTTCCAAACTGTTCCAGGTGCAAGTAGTTCAAACTCTTAGCTTAAAATGGCTACTTGCACATCTCCATATGATTTTTCTACAATTTATGGTGATTTTTACAAAACTGCCTATCATTTCAGAGGCAAACCCGGACCAGTCTGTGATTATGAACATTTTCACCTCTGTTAGAGATCACTAAAAATCATGATAAAATTTACGAACAAACTGGACTCATATTCCAAACTCTCAGAATTTGCGGATTTGGATTTAGAGCTTTGATGATTTTTCTATAAATTTTCTAAGAACAGTAACAGAAACTGTATTCAACGAAAAGTTGCTGTCAATTTCATTTCACCTTGTAACATGTTGAGCAAGGTTTATATCTTTATGTGATTATATGTTATTGCAATATATGACATTTTATCTTAATATTTAGACACACATCAGTTTACAAATGGATTTGGACATATAAAATATAAAGAATAACCAAGTGATTATAATCAAAGTACAACCGATACATTCAAACATTTAATAAACTATTTTGAATATAGTTTGCATACATTACTACGTACTACCCTTGGTTGATAAACTATAATAGGTATAGTTTATGATACATTACATAACACATACATTTAAAAAGGGTACATTTATACAAAGGATATTTTCATTAAGCAAGGTACGGCTATACGGTACCAAGTTTTCATAACACGTAATTCCGTTAATGACTTTGTGAGACATTTACTTCAAATTACCATTAAGTCCTGTATTGTAACCAGAGTCTCCTTGAGGGAGAGCGTGATAGTTGTGTATAGATCTATATTGGGTTTGACAAACCCACACCTAAACTGCATGCAACAGTTAGACTGATAGGTCTGGGGTGACAAATGTCATAACATTTCCGACGCCTGAAGAACGTCGTTTTAGGCAACCTTGGTCATAGTATGGTTATACTAAACTCACATAAAGTATTAATAAACATTGGAATTTACGGGAACTTCATTAAAATTTAACGAGTTTATGTCGATTTAAACTTGCATTGTTTTACTATAAATATGACAAATTACTTGTACATTTCGGTCTTTGGGTTTTAAGACTACATTTACACATTAAGGAAAATATTGGATTTTCTAACACAAATACTACTTTTACAAACGAAAGGCTTTTAATAATACCAAACAAAAGCTTATGAACTCACCAACCTTTGTGTTGACACTTTTTCAAACAACTTGTATTCTCAGGAAATCATTAAACAGGTAACCAAGTGCTTTTGAGGATGGGGCGCTAAGGCGTCTACTATTTCATATTTTGTCAACATATTGTAATTGATTCGTAAACATGTAATTCATACAATGATGTCACTTTTTCAATTATATATATGTTGGTTGTGTTTGCTTCAATTACTATTACAATTGTTGTTATGATACTATACATGAAGTCATCCACCCCCGGACGTTTCCGCCATCCTTGGTTTGGGGGTGTGACAGTCTGACAATCTGGTCAATCCGGAAACCATCCCCAACGCAGCCATCTTGGAAATGTTCTATCAAATGGGGTACAAGGAAACACTCACTGTTGTATCCAAGTTCAAGAAACCCAATCTTCCACCAACTTGGAACGCCCTTTTCACCATCTTGTTCAAAGCCTGTTCTGAAAGGGTCACAGGCAACGAATGTGCAAGCAAGCTCTTCATGGGTATGATGTATGGCCTATACACTGGTGAAAACATAGACTATGGTTCTATCCTCTGGGCTCAATTCATCCAGAGCACTCACTCTGTTACTCGTCACAGTGAGATCTCATGTGCGCGATTTTGGACTGTTGTTGTAAATAGGGCAATTAAGCAGCTCAAAATTACAGTCATGACTGATGCACTGATGGCTTCCATTGCGACATTAATAACAACATGTATTATTATGGCAGATAGGTCCAAGTTTTCTTTCATTGGTTCAATTCTAGAAGCGATGTTTCGTGATGTTCCTCCCTCAAGTAAAATTCTAGAAAGATATCACGCTCTTACTCCTTCAGGACCTCGTCCTTTAACTGATGACTTCTAAGCGATTTTGGTTGAGGCTACCAAGAAAGGGGACAAAGGGTCCAAGAGAACTACCAAGAAATATTCTACGAAAGAAGGAACTTATGAGGCTCCGAAACCTCCGTCTACGAAGCGAAAGGCTCCTACTACCTCTACTGCTGCACCAAAGCGAAGGAAGCAACCCGCTAGAAGGCGAAAGTCTCCTACTCCTACTCCATCTCAGAGTGAAGACGCAAATTCGGATTCTAATACCGAGTCGGAGATTCGCATTGAGGAGGATCCCCCTATTCACAATGAAGAAGATGAACCCATTCACACTGAATAACAAGAACACGTTCGTAATGAGGAAGAAGAACAAGTTCGCACTGAGACCCCGTTTCCTAATCGTGAGGTAACTCCACCCCTTACGGATTCTGTTCCTTCTCCACCTCCCTCACCAAAAACAACTACTTCTATACCAATCACCATTGCTCCTCTCCCACCACCTATATCAACTCAAACACCCACAAACTATTCCAGTATCAATACCTATTTTCACAGATTCCACAGTTCCACCTCAAACCTCTACTGCACCTGTAAGTTCAGTCAACGTATCTGATACGGGGGCTAACACTTCAGGTTTTTCAACTCATGTTACACCACCCATCTCTCCCATTCGCAAAGATGACCCGGAAATGATTTTCGGAGATGATAACGTTGATGATTTGGAAGGATTCACTTATAATCCTTTTCAAATAAGGATTGACAATGAAGATGATGTCTTTACTCCGAAAGCGGAATTCAAATCTCTTCATGAGAAGCTTGATCAGCTGCTTCTCGCATCCAGCGTTTCCACTTCTGAAGCTTACTCCAAAGCTGCGGTTGAGTCAATCCTTGAGAGAGTCACAAAGGAACATACTGCCAACACTTCTACTTTGTCCAAGGCAGTTTCTGACTCTGCTCTTGTTTGTAAGGAAACGACCGAAAAAGTCGATAAACTAATTGCTGACACAAGGGAATGCATGGAAGCCTACCAGGTTACATACAATGCCAATACCACAACAACGAACAAGGCTATTCAGAATGTTGGTGCCATGTTCCAAGCAGAAAAGGCGAACTTTGCTGAACTTTGCACCGTGTTCAAGTCCGATCATGAAGCATTACAGAATTCTATCGATGCGAAACTCACAAAGCTTCAAGAAGAGTTGGCGATGGAGAAAAAAGATCATGGATGCTCTCGCGGTCAAGGAGGAAAAGTGTAAGGTGTTGGAAACCAAGCGTCACTACACTGAAAAGAAGGTCGATGATCTGCTCGCAGAGAAAGCAGTACCGCGAAGTTGTATTTTTGATGTTAATGGACTGCTCTCTGATATCATTGAGACCCGTGATCCCATGATTTCCATCACAATATGAAAGCATCTGGCTGAAAAGCTAAGACCTGTGTTCGCAATGTTGCACCGTTTGGAGGGTGTTTCGACGCCGATGTCTTTTCCGAAACAAGGGGGAGAAGGTAGTTCCAAAACTGATGAAAACCTTAAAGTTTCAGTTAAACCTCTTGTCATCAATTCAGATCCAAATGACAAGGAAAAGTTATTCAGTAATGAACCCATTATTGACAATGACGAATACGAAGAGCCTGATGAAGCTGAGCTTAAAAGGTGGAAGGTTCGTGAAGCAGAGTTGGATGAAAATGCTCGTATCGTCAAGGAGGCTGAGGAAAAGGATAGAGCTGAAAAGGAAGCTCAGGCCACTCTTAAAAGCAAAATGCTATTATTTCCAAAGTGGACCCTGAAGCGCATGCAAAACCAAGCTGTGGATATGTCAAGTCAGTATTGGTTGGATCCTATTGCTTCCTTTGATGTCCAAAATACACAGGATTCACAGTTAGACCTTCCTATCACACCAAAGGCGTTCAGGTTTCATGCCTTTATAAAGGTTGCTAATGTACCTTTCTCAGACAGCACTGGGGATCAACTGTTGTTTGCCTTCTACTTGAAGCATATGAAGCCCCGGTTCGAGACTTGGAGTGCGAGCAAGATTGTAGCTGTGAAGGTTACTGGGCCAATCGAGACTGAAAGCTTCCCTAATGCGAAGTTTAAAGTTGCGAGAGGATCTGCATGTCAAGCCTGGGAATTCACTCTCGCATATCTGCCTTGCTTGAACCTCCATGACTGGATGGTGGTATTCAATATTTTTTTGCGAGAGAAGGAGAAGTACGAACCTATATTTTCTCATCTTCAACTTTTGATCAAGTCTTACATTCAGGAAGTTGGATTGATGGATGTGGAAATTGCCACTGTTCTGAGGCAAAAACCGAGTGTTGTTCCAAAAGAAGCTCTGAAAGACTTCCAGAAGCTCAAGCCACGAAAGATTTACAAGGAAGGATGGTTTGTGGTATACACGACTAGAGGTCGTCCAGGAGCAGATCGATGCAAGTTATTCTTTCATCTCGAAGACAAATACTTGTTTACTGCTTCTTGTCTGGAGTTTATTTTGGAGCTAGTTGTGAAGTTTAAGGGAAACAACAAAGATGATGTGAAGTGTTTCACCGATGTGATCACTTGGTACATTCATGTTCGCAAGCTGGTGTTGAGTTTCATTCCCAAAGTCAATGAAGTGCATAAGCGAATCACGAATTAAAATGGCTATGGTTTCAATTGACGCAAAGGGGGGATTGTTGAAGATATTAGTGTTGCGTCATTGGGCCTACGTTATCTAGTCCATTTTGTATAAACGAGTTGGGCATGTCCACTCATATTTAATGCTAGGGTTATAGTATATAAGGTTCATGCACGCTATGTATTTTAGTAAGGTTTTGAATTTATCTTTTAAACCCTAATTTGTGCCTCTACAGAAGCAATTCTTCATCGAGTTCTTCTGAGGTGTGACTGTTAATCATTCAGCAGCAGTTTGATCATATTGTGTTCTTTACCTGTTTTAATCTATTCGATCAATAAGGATTTATTCCTATCACAGAATCTGGAAGTTACCCACACGTCTCTATCAGAAATCACGGAGACTGGCACTCTGTGTCGAGCTACGACCTCTCGGATGTAGATATCGACCAGCTTCTCGGCCAAGATTCTCTCCTGGATCAGTATGAAATGAGCACTCTTGGTCAACCGATCCAAAATGACCCAAATCGAATCCACCCCTCGTGCGGTCCTGGGAAGCTTCGTGATGAAATCCATAGTAATATCTTCCCATTTCCACATAGTGATATCCAACGGTTGTGTCTTTCCGTGAGGCCTCTGGTGCTCGGCCTTGACCTTCCTGCAGGTCAGGCATCTCTCGACGTACCAGGCTACATCCCGCTTCATGCAGGGCCACCAGTAATCAGGACGAAGATCTCTGTACATCTTCGTCGCCCCAGGATGAATCCAGAATCTGGATTTGTGCGCCTCCTCCATCAAAACTTGGCGCACCCCTCCATGATATGGAACCCACACTCTACGGTGTAGTGTCAACAACCCACAAATATCATAGTCGAAGGAGGAAACCTGACCCACAATACGCTCGCTCTTCCTATGTTCCTCCTTCATAGCCTCCTGCTGGGCCTCTCGGATTTGTTCCAGCAGTGGAGTCACTACTGTCATCCGCAAGCAAATGTCTCTGATCGGGGTTGCCTTGCGGCTAAGAGCATCGGCCACAGCATTGGCCTTCCCCGGGTGGTAGAGGATCCCGCAATCGTAATCCTTCACCACATCCAGCCACTGACGCTGCCTCATGTTCATATTTGGCTGATCCATGAGGTACCTCTAACTCTTGTGATCTGTGTAAATGGTACAACGGACCCCATAGAGGTAATGTCGCCAAATCTTGAGGGCGAAGACGACCGCCCCCAATTCCAAATCATACGTCGGGTAGTTCGCCTTGTGAGGCTTCAGCTGCCTCGAAGCGTTCCCTCTCTGCATCAGTACTGCGCCCAAACCCAATATGGACGCATAGCAATACACTACAAAATCCTCCACGCCCTCTGGCGGGGCTAAGATCGGTGCCTCGCATAATCTCAGCCTCAATATCTCAAACGCTGACTGCTGCTCAGGCCCCAGTAAAATACAACGGCTTTCTTCGTCAGCCGGGTCAAGGGTACCGCTATCTTGGAGAAGTCCTGAATGAATCTTCGGTAATAGCCTACCAATCCCAGGAAACTCCGAGTCTCAGATGGAGACTTCGGAACCTTCCACCTCATCACGACCTCCACCTTGGCCGGGTCAACCAAAATCGAGTTCTGGTTGACAAGGTACCCAAAATACTTCACCTCGCGCAACCAAAACTCACACTTGGAGAACTTGGCGTACAAGCTCTCCCTCCTCAGGGTATCCAACACCTCTCGCAAGTGCTCCTCGTGTTGCTCCTGTGTCTTGGAATAAACCAAGATGTCATTAATTAAAACTCTCAGAGACCGATCCAGCATCGGTCTGCATACGCGGTTCATGAGATCCATGAACACGGCAGGAGCATTGGTGAGCCCGAAGGGCATCACCACGAACTCGTAGGGGCCATAACGAGTTCGGAACGCAGTCTTCTATACATCCTCATCTCTGACCCTTATCTGATGGTAGCCTGAACGTAAATCTATCTTAGAAAACCAAGATTCCCCCCTGTAGCTGGTCGAAGAGATCATCAATCCTCGGGAGTGGGTAACGGTTCTTCACCGTTACCTTGTTCAGCTCCCGGTAATCTATACACATCCGATGCGAACCGTCCTTCTTCTTCACGAATAGGATTGGGGCTCCCTAGGGTGAACTGCTAGGTCTAATGAATCCCTTGTCTAACAGCTCTTGCAGCTATGTAGACAGCTCGTGCATCTCAGGAGGAGCCAACCGATATGGTGCCTTGGCTATCGGAGCTGCACCAGGGACTAGGTCGATCCGGAACTCCACCTGCCTCTCTGGAGGTATCCTAAGCAGCTCCTCTGGAAATACGTCCGGGTACTCTAGCTCCACTGGCACATCACTCACCGTCGCCTTACCCGCTTCCCGGGTATCCATAATATAGGCGACATACCCTGTGCAAACCTGCTGAAGGTAGAGCCTAGCCCTCGCTGCTGAGCACAAAGCCGGTCCTCGCTGTGGCCTCTCGCCCTAAATCACCAGCTCTCCCCCACTTGGGGTCTTCATACGCACCAGCTGCTATGCACAGTCGATCACCACCCCCATTAGGGCTCAACCAGTCCATGCCTATGATAACCTTGTTCCTACGCAACGGAATGTGAACCAAGTCTACTAGGTAGCGCACCTCATACAGTCTCAAAACACAATCTCTGAAAACTTCTGATACTACAAGTTCCCTGGTTCTATCTCATCCCTCCTTGAATCGAGTACAGATCCTCTACTTTCAGTAGTACGGGCCCATACTACCTTCCACATCTATCCGTACTTTCCTCAAGGATTGCCTTGACTTCACCAAGTCCCGTTCACTACTACTTCTCGCTGCACTAATCTCATCCTAGGCTTATCCTAGGGTAACTCTCCGACCTACTCTCCGCCATCAGCTGCATAAGGAATTCCTGTCACCTTTACTTAACTAGCTTGCGAATACCATTACATATCACTGAGACCAGATAATTCTTCGAATGAGAGGTCCTACCCTACAACGGTTAGACTGAAACAAGATCTGCGTAATAGGGCTAGACCTAACCTTCTGAAATTATTTAGTCCTCGCAATATGTAACTTATCATATTCATTTACTGGCTAGTTAAAGATAACTAGAACTCCCAAAAGCACAAAGCAAGCAGCATTCGGGCATTGAGTAACCATACCAAGCATATCCTATTCAGGCCATCATATTACTGATTAATCAGTTCTAGCATATAACCCAATAAGCACACATAGCAGGCACATAAGGCATCTTCCTAGATCCTTAGCCCTAATCTAGCATGCAGTTCTCATCACCATATCATATCGTAACATAACATGTATAGGTATCTTTGGGAAAACTTACTTGAGCTCGGCCGGTTGCACGCATCACACACCTTGTTCTTTCTCAAAACCTTTTTATTTTAAATTTTAGAAAAATTATTTTCTTGTAAAAATCTTTTAAACCCTCGATTTGAGTCCAGACACCCCCGAAGGTGCGTCTGAATCCCTAAAACCAAGGCTCTGATACCAACTTGTAATATCCCAAAAAATCATGACTAAAAATTTCATTTTTAATTAGGTAGCTTATAAAATTGCTTACTGAAAAAATATCATCGAATCGTATCATTTCATAAAATCATAGTCACATGTCTCAAACGATATCATAAAATAGTAATAA